CCCTCTTCCTGCATTTGGCAAAACAGGAATAACCTCAAAAGTGGTTTAAAAGGCAATAGATCCAGCAGGTGGCTAAATGGAAATCTTCTAACACTTGTTACAAATGATTGCGGACAGGTCATATGCTGATGCAGTTTTGAAATGCCACTCCTTGGGGCGCCTGGGTGGCTCAGTTGGCTAAGCGTCCGACTTCGGCTCAGGTCATGATCACACGGTTCGTGGGTTCGAGCCCCGCATCAGGCTCTGTGTTGACAACTAGCTCAGAGCCTGGAGCCTGCTTCTGATTCTGTGTCTCCCTCTCTCTCTACCCTCCCCTACTCATGCTGCCTCTCTCTCTCTCTCTCTCTCTCTCTCTCTCTCAGAAATAAATACAACATTTTAAAAAAATAAAATAAAATGCCGCTCCTTTTCTTTGGTCCTATTATTATTTCTCTTCCTACCGCAGCAAACTCTGAAATATTCATTTCACATATAAGTGGGTAGAGCAATTAAAAGGAAGAGAAGCTTTTTAACATTTGAGAATACATTAAAAAACCCTTAGCACCCTTTTCTCTCTCTTTTTGAGGGGGGGGGAATGGAAGGTTCATGAAGATAAGCTCACACATTGGTGTGTAAATGTATTATTCCCACCTAATGGGTTAACTGAGATGGGAACATTAACCCTGTGACTCTGCCAGTATCTCTTTTGGGAAAAAAAGGGGGTTCCAGTGGAAATCCAAGCTCCTTTACACTCCAGATTTCTCCTCACCTGTTCACTTCCCCCAACCTCCACATCTTTCCCAAGCATGGGTACATATATACCAAGCTCAGGAATACCATTTGGGCTATATATTTTTTTAGAGGACATAAGTATATAAATAATCCTATATTGTGTAAATATCCATTCCTTGAAGGAGTTCTCTGCCTTCCCTCTAGAGCAGCCATTAATCCCCTTCCTATCACTACCTGTGCAGCTAGGTAAAATTGGCCCAGGGAAGGCAGTTACCACTCCCTATTCCAGAAAGTTCTCCTTCAAATGGTCTAAATCAGCTTAGAGATTGGGGCATATATTCTGGTTCTTGTCCATTTTCCTCTTTGGTCTAAATGCTCCTAATCAGTACTTTCTTATAACTGAAGTGGTAAGTGGAGGAACAAGGCCACTTAATTTTGCTTAAAGAGCTCACCATGTGGTCTAATTTAATCTAGCTCAGCAGGATTCTATAGTGGGATTTGAAGCTTTAGAGAAATTAAATGTGTTACTTAGTTCACCATTGTCTACATTCCCTATTCATGCTCCTTTGTGTGAAAAATGAATGTATAGTTTCTATAAGAAAATTTTCACATTTTAGAAAATCATTCTTTTTCTGTGAATCTCTTTGAGGTATGTGCTGGATATTGCCAAATACTATCAGTCAAATTACAATTTAGGAAGAAAACTGTCCCACTTACATTGTAAAATATTCCAAAGATTTAATTCCCAAAGTTTAGAATCTAAATAATATTTGGTATTGTGTAGTAAATTTCATCTGTGTAAGCCAGATTTCACAAATCTGGCAATATAAATTTACCCTTAAAAACTATTCTCCATATTACTCAGTCAAAAGAAAATGAGACCTTGCCGTTTTAAGACAGCATGGATGGATCTAGAGAATATTTGGCTAAGTGAAATAAGTCAGACAGAGAAAAAGAAATACCATATGATTTCACTCATATGTAGAATCTAAATTAAACCGAAACAATGAACAATTAAAAAACAAACAGACTCTTAAATACAGTGAACAAACTGGTAGGTAGTTGCCAGAGTGGAGATGGGTGAAGGGACGGGTAAAATAAAGAGGACTCAGAGGTACAAACTTCCAGTTGTAAAATAAATAAGCCATGGAGATGAAAAGTACAACATATGATCAATAATATCATAATAATGTTGGGGTGCCTGGGTGGCTCAGTTGGTTAAGCATCCGACTTCAGCTCAGGTCATGATCTCACAGTTCGTGGGTTCGAGCCCCATGTCGGGCTCTGTGCTGACAGCTCAGCCTGGAGCCTGTTTTGGATTCTGTGTCTCCCTCTCTCTCTGGCCCTCCCCTGCTCACACTGTCTCTCTCTCTCTCTCTCAGAACAAAAACATTACAAATTTTTTAATAATGTTGTATGGTGACAGATAGTGACTATACTAATAATGGTGAACGATGAGTAATGTACAGTACTGTCAAATCACTAAGTTGTATACCTGAAACCAATATAACATTGTATATCAATTATACTTAAAAAAAAAACACCAAACCTATTTTCCATGAATTATACTACTTGTCTATGAGAAAAACAAATGATAACTGCTGTTTCTATCTCTACATAACCTAATCTGAAAGGTCCTCAAATTTAGAAAAGATATTTGTCCAAAATCTGGAGAAATATTACACTACAAAAACATTAGCAGCATTACCACTTAAGACAGCATGGATTTTTCTTTTTTAATAGCCACACATTCTTTGGTACTCCTCCAACTGAGAGACAGAGTCTATGTATCCTCCCCTGGATTCCAAGTGGGCTGATCATTTGCTTGTGACTAATCAAATGCAGCAGAAATAGCCCTTTGTGACTTCTGAGGCTGTTCAGAAAAGGTGATACAACTTCCCACTGGTTGACTGTGGCACTTTTAGAGCCAATACAGTAATAGAATGTGATATAGACAGTAAAAGCATCCAAACCCACACCTACATCTCAATATATAAATTAGTGTACAATAAAGGTATTTCAAGTTAGCCCAGAAAAAAGATGGCTTTTTCAATAATTAGTATGTATTCAGTTCATCTGTTATTGGTTCTTTTGGCATAAGACTCAGAGCCTGGAGCTTGTTTCTGATTCTGTGTCTCTCTCTGCCCCTTCCCTGCTTATGCTCTGTCTCTCTCTCAAGAATAAACAAACATTAAAAAAAAAAAAAAAGACTATCCATAATATTTTCCTTGTCAGTTTTATTTGTCTAAAATTGATAGTGAAGTACCTTTTTTATCCTTCATGATTTTCTTTTCTTCTTAATCAACCTTAACAGTTTATTGATCTTATTAATCTTTTCAAAGAACCAACTTTTTTTAATAAATTTTTTTTAATATTTTATTTATTTCTAGGAGAGAGAGAGAGAGAGACAGCGTGAGCAGGGGAGGGTCAGAGAGAGAGGGAGTGACAGACTCTGAAACAGGCTCCAGGCTCTGAGCTGGCAGTCAGCACAGAGCCTGACGCGGGGCTTGAACCCACGAACTGCGAGATCATGACCTAAGCAAAAAGTCAGACGCTTAACCGGCTAAGCCACCCAGGTGCCCCTCAAAGAACCAAATTTGACTGTGTTCATTTTCTCTTTTTTTCTATTTAGTGGATTTTCATTCTTGTTTTGATTATTTTTTATTTCTTCTGCTTATTTTGTATTTAGTTTGCTTTTTTTCTGTCACTTAATTGATTTTACATCTTTCTTCTTTTATAATATAAGCATTTAAGTGTATAAATTCTCCCAGGCTATAACTCACAAATTTTAACATGTTGTATTTTCCTTTTTATTCAGTTCAAAATATTTTCTTTTTTTAAAAATTTTTAATGGTTATTTATTTTTTAGGGAGATAGACAGAGTGTGAGCTGTGGAGGGACAGAGAGAAAGGGAGACACAGAATCACAGAATCTGAAGCAGGCTCAAGGCTCTGAGCTGTCAGCACAGAGCCTGATGCAGGGCTCGAACTCATGAGTGGTAAGATCATGACCTGAGCTGAAGTCGGACGCTCAACCAACTGAGCAATCCAGATACCCCTCAAAATATTTTCTTATTTCCATTGCAATTTCTTCTTTGACTTTTGGGCTATTTAGAAATAGGTTAATTTCCCCCAAATTGGGGCGTTTTACAGATATTTTTCCAGTATTTATTGCTACCTTAATTCCACTGTGGTGACACACAGGAATATATTCAGTGTGATTTCAATTCTTTTATAATTATTGAGACTTGTAGCCCACCATATGATCTATGTTGGTGAATGTTCTATGCTCCTTCATCTGTCCACAGTGTAATCATTGCACACATTAACGATCTAGCATTCTATCCCAAGGTGGCAAATAGGAGCCAGGAGAAGCAGGCTGGTGAGCTCCATGCTGGGAAACAGACTACGTAATACCCTGAAAAAGGCAGACTTCACTAACTCAGAAAATAGAACATGAACCCTCTGGCTGTTACAACACATCCTCCACTTGAGGGTCCCCTATCATTATTCTACTTGGTTCCATGGAACCTCAGAAACATGCTTTAAACTAAGCATCCTGTTTTTAAAAATTCAGAGAACAAAAAAGAATCCTTGGGGGGGGGTGGGAAGAGATATAATAGATGAAATGAAAATATAATGGAATGGTTGAAAGATAATGTTGAAGAAATGTCCCAGAAAATGGAAAGGTATAAGAAGGGAAAGACAAAATATTAAAGATTAAAAAAAAATTTTTTTTAATGTTTATTTATTTATTTCGAGAGAGAGAGAGTTGGGGAGGGAAGAGAGAGAGGGAGAGAGAGAATCCCAAGCAGGCTCTGTGCTGTCAGCACAGAGTCCAATGCAGAGCTCAAACTCACAAACTGTGAGATCCTGACCCGAGCCGACAGACATCAAGAGTCAGGCACTTAACCGACTGAGCCCTCCAGGTGCCCCAAAGATTTTAAGTAATCTCTACACCCAGTGTGGTGCTCAAACTTACAACCCCGAGATCAGGAGTCGCATGCTCCACTGACTGAGCCAGCCAGGCGCCCCAGAAAAAAGATATGTTTTAAATTAGAGAATAAGTAAAAATTCAGCAACCAAATAATAGGAATTCCAAAAAGAAGGAACATACAAAATGGAGGAGAAAATTCAAGATGTCCCAAACTTGAAAGTAATTTACTTCTGGCAGTAAGAGATAGAGGAAAGGGCCCACTAAGTTTCCAGCATCACGGACAAAAATAGATTCATTCTAAGATACATGATATGAAATTTCAGAATTCCTGGAATGAAGTGAAGATTTTATAAGCTTCCAAGGAGAAAGAAAGTTACAAATGATGGATCAAGAGTCAGTCTGGTTTTAGGTTCTCAACACCAGGAGTGGAAGCAACAGGACACTGAAGCAATGCCTTCAACGTTCTAAAAGGAAATGATTTCCATCCTAGAATCTCATATCAGACAAACTATTAATAAATTGTTAGAGTTTAAAAAAGGCATTTTCAGGGGCCCCTGGGTGGCTCAGTCAGTTAAGTGTGAGACTTTGGCTCAGGTCATGATCTCACAGTTCCTGTGTCGACAGCTCATCCTGAGCCTGCTTCAGATTCTTGTCTCCCTCTCTCTCAGCCCCACCCTGCTGGTGCTCAGTCTCTCTCTCTCTTCCAAAAATAAATAAACATTTTCTTTAAAAAAAGACATTTTCAGAGCTTCAAGGTGTAAAAACTTACCTCCCACGGATCCAAGAAGTTACTGAATATGTGCTTCACTAAGACAACCAAGTGAACCAAGAAAGGGGAAAATCTGCAACATAAAAGGAGGATCAGGGCTCCTGGTGACTCAGTTGTTTAAGCATCTGATTTCAGCTCATGTCGTGATCTCATTGTGAGTTGGAGTCCTACATCAGGCTGGGATACTCTCTCTTCCGATCTCTCTGCCCCTCCCTTTGCATGTGAGCACGTGCTCTCTCTCTCTCTCTCTCTCTCCCAGAATAAATAAATAAACTTAAAAAGAAAAAAAGGAGGGGTGCCTGGGCAGCTCAGTCGGTTAAGCGTCCGACTTCAGCTCAGGTCATGATCTCGTGGTTCATGAGTTCAAGCCCAGCATGGGGCTCTGTGCTGACAGATCAGAGCCTGGAGCCTGCTTCAGATTCTGTGTCTCCCTCTCTTTCTCCCCCTCCCCTGCTCACACTCTGTCTCTATCTCCCTCAAAATAAATAAACATTAAAAAAAATTTTTTTAAGAAAAAAAGCAGAGACTCCAACACAGGACAGAGGTCAAGTGAATATCAAAGAAGATGTACATATGATTTAGAGAACAACTAATTCTTAAGAGACAGACACAATAAAGACTTATCACCAAACTATCTGCTGTCATTATAGTCTCTTTCCCTGGAAAAAAAAAATTCCCAGGCAAACCTAGTTTGGATTCTTATCTGTATTTGACAGGCCTAGATCTTGCGTTAATGAGTAATCAAGAGTCCCCTCCTCTCCATGCCCTACAGCCCGGACCAGCTGATAGTCCCTTTGCCTCAGGAAGTGTTCTGATTTGCTCATTGCTGACAGCTGGAAGTGGGCTTTGCCGTCGAATATACAGCAGAGTCCATTCCTACTGACTGCATTCCCACTCTCCCACCAGGAAGGCCTGCCTGTGGCCTCAACTGTGGTTAAGTCCTATGCTTCCTAAGACTCTGTCATGACCTTGCACACGAACACACTAACTGCCGAGAGGGGGTTCTTACAGAACTCCCAAGGAAGCAAAATGCATACTATGACTCAGAGACTATCTTCACTTTATCTTCTGTCTAATAATGGCAATGTTCCTCTTCAGTAAGATTTGTGCTTGCTTCTCAGCGACTGTACTGATCCTTTTTTACATATATTTATATGAAAATAGTTCACAAAATGATATAAAATTAAATGAGAATAAAAAAGAAAAAACTAGGCAAGTTACTTAATCATTTTTACCTCAGTTTCCATATCCATAAAAGGCGACAAAAATAGTCTTACCTGTTAGCTGTTGGGGGGAGTAACTAAACAAACATAGACAATGTGTATGATACAGATTAGGGGCTCAATCGGTGATAACTATCTTTTAAACTCTCAACTTAATAAGATCATTCCTTTAATGTGGGAGTATGTGTGTGAGTGTGACTGTGTGGTGTGTGTTTGTATATATACAGAGTGTGATAAAGGTAAAGCAGGAGTGATCTACACTGCGGGAGGTAATAGCAGATTCTGGTGAAGGGAAAAAATATGAAACATGACAAGTGCCAGGAGCCTTGTAGGCCTGTGAGCTGAGGCAGAATCAAAGATGTGGCAAACTGGAATAGTTTATGCCTCTTATATATGCTTCTTAGATTTGACTATGGAAAATTTCAAAGGCATGCAAGATAAGGAGACTAATATAATATACCCCTGTCTACCTGGCTTCAACAAGTATCAATTCATGGCCAATCTCATTATATTATATCCCAAGCTACTTTTTCTCCATTACCAGATGATTTATAAACAAATCTCAGAATCATGTAATTTCATCTGTGAATATTTTAGTATTATGCTTCTTGTATTTTTTGTGGCCTTTTCATTATTTAATAAATCCTTTAAAAAAATAATAACAAAAAGATAAGTGAATGTGAGTTAGTATATATATGACCATGGAAAGATCTCATAAATGTATTATTGTTCAATAATAATAAGTTATATTAATTATATAGTAATAAAATTATAATAATTAATTAATAATAAAAATAATAAATAAGTTACATATATCACAATTATATTTAAAAAGACTTAAGCAAAAAAAAACAAAAAAAGGGGAAGGGAATAAGATAAAATAAGATAAAAACAGAGAGTGAAGCAAACCATAAGAGACTCTCAAATACAGAGAACAAACTGAGGGTTGCTGGTGGGGTGTTGGGTGGGGGGATGGGCTAGATGGGTGATGGGCATTCAGGAGGACACTTGTTGGGATGAGCACTGGGCGTTGTCTATAAGTGGTAAATTGCTGAATTCTACTCCTGAAATCATTATTTCACTATATGTTAACTAACTTGGCTTTAAATAAAATTTAAAAATTAAAAATAAATAAAAATAAAAAAATAAACAGTAAAATACATGCATGTGCTCCAAAATATGTACGTATATATATAGAAAGATAGTTGCAAAACCGTGCATCAAACTACTAATCCTGATTACCTCATAGGAGGGGAGTAGTGATTTAAAGAATGAACTTAAGAATTTTGTCCTGTAGGCATTTATATTGTTTGACACTCAAAGGAAAAACAATATATTCATCATTACTTATGTGATTTTTTTTTTTTTTTTCCAAAAGAAGTAAACACTTTGCTCCTAGTTGCCCAGAGAGACAGTAACTCATATGGGAAATGTTAAGAAGTCTCAAGTCCTGATTTGAGTTTCTAGCTACTAAGTGACCTTCCAACCTCCTTCCTAATCAAGTTTTGTTTTTTTGGTTTTTTTTTTTTCCTGCCAACTAAAAATACACTATCCAGTTCAGGAAATGTGGGTGATTAAATAGCAGCTGCTACTGAAAACCTACTTTGCATATTGAAACAACCTTGGAAGAGAAATAGCAACAGCTCACTGTCATCATCAGCTCCTGTTCTGAGGCACGGCTGGAGAGCATCACACTTTTGTCTTGGCCTCCACATTATCCTGCCTGCACATTTTCAGGAGACAGTCTCTGGCCACTGTTGTTATTGTTGTTTTCCTCCTCTTAGCGTCAGGAAACTTCCTGCAAATACCTAGATACAGAAGTCGAAACTGCTTCAGTGCAAGTCTAACATCCTTTAGACTTTTATTTTTTTTCAAGTTTATTTATTTTTAGAGAGAAACCATGGGGGGAGGGGGAGACAGAGAGAGAGGGAGAGAGAATCCCAAGCAGGCTCCACACTGTCAGTGCAGAGCCTGATGCAGGGCTCGAACCACAAACCACGAGATCATGACCTGAGCCAAAGTCAGATGCTTAACCGACTGAACCACCCAGACGCCCCACATCCTTTAGATCTTTCTTGCACTATTTCAGAAAGCAGATCACTCACTCCTATTTCCTTTTCCCACTTTTTGTTTTTGTTTTGGTTTTAGAGAGAAAGAGAAAGAGATTGACTGTCAAGATACTATTTCTGTTGGGAGGGAGACAGACAGGAGAGACAGGCACAGAAATTCGCTCCAACTTTGCCACGTTCCTCATTTGGTTATAAAGAGATAGCATCACCAGTAAAATGGAAACTAGGAATAGCAGAAAGGGGATATGAGTTGTTCTATAAATGTAAAACACTCACAAGCCCCTAAATGTGATAATAATTCTAAGTACAACTCAAAATGCAAAATAAATGCAGTTTAAGAGTCTGCAATATATCCTATATCTAATTGTAATATATGGTGTCATAGTCTTCATAGTCTTCATAGACAAGAATGACGCTGACTTCTCTCACTCATAAGGCATGCAGATGCGTTTTGAACAGTTTTGTTTTTTTTTTAAACTCATGTGATAGACTACACAGAGCTTTGCTTATAGCTGCTCAATAAAAATTCTATTGTACCTGGGTGCCTGGGTGGCTCAGTCAGTTAAGTGACTGGCTTCGGCTCAGGTCATGATCTCACAGTTAGTGAGTTCAAGCCCCATATCGGGCTCTCTACTGTCAGCATGGACCTGCTTCAGATGCTCTGTCCAACCCCCCCCCCCAACTCCCGCCCCTCCCCAGCTCGTTCTCTCTCTCAAAACAAATAAATAAACTTAAAAAAAATTCTATTGTGCCTATAAGATATATGAGTTGAGGGAAACTTAACAGTACCTAGTCTAATCTTTCTTCACAAGTCAATGGCTTCTTCAGCTTCTCTCTACCTCTCCTCGATCCTCAGGGCCACACAGAAGGAACTGGGGTCAGAGTGACGGCAGTGTTACTCCCTTGGCTCCCAGGCTCCAGGCACATCTTATTCTTAGCCCCTGTGTCCTTATTTTCTGCCCATCCCAGTCCTGCAAATCAAATCTTGGCAGGATTCATCAGCTGGACAGGACTAAGTTTCAGCTTGATCTGATCACCCTTTACCACAATAAGACAAACAAGCCTTCCTCCACAGAGGTCTTTAATGCTTTGACCCTGCTCTGGCATAATGACACAGATTCTTTGCTTGACCAAACTTTAGTCAGGCTCCTGAAACTTCTTCTCAGCCCATCGGTGCACTTCCTTGTAAAATCCAGTTTTATCAAGAACCCTACTAAGTGTTAACCAGAATGCCCCGCCCTTAATATCTAATTACCTCAATATCTGATCGGGTTCCTCATCTCCCACCATCCCCCAAGGTGAAGTCTGGTCACTTGACCTGACTTCAGCAAGAATCCTGTTAGGTCAGCTTAGCCAGAATCCCCCCAGAACCTCTTAGTAGTTTTCTATCTGCTGACCCCCGCCTTGATCCTTGGCTATAAATTCCCACTTGCCCAGGCTGGCTGCAAAGTAACAATAGCTTATAGCCACAGGCACCCGAAAGAACTAAACAACAGTAATGTCAATAACAACACAGTGGCATACATACCACACTCCGTGTTTCTGACTTTTCTCAACCACTTCCTCCTGTTAAAATACCCTATAATTACAACAGGATGTTTGCTCTTTGCAAAGCACTTTCTTAGTGTGTAGCAGACATGGTGAAAGAGGAAGAGATAAATAAATCCCAGCAAGATCTCAAGCAAATCATTTACCCTGAGCCTTTTTCTTTATTTGTAAAATGGGAGAGGCATAACCCTCAACTTGCTTCTTGACTTTTTAATGCAATGTATGGGAAAGTATTAAGCACCACACAAATGCTACTGGTTATGAGAGCCGAATCACTGCAACTGCAGATGCAAATTAGAGGGCTACGGAAAGAATTCATGGCTTCTGGTTGGCCAATTTTTTTTAATGTTTTATTTATTTGTGAGGGAGAGAGACAGCATGAGCAGGAGAGCGTCTCTGAGCTAGCTGTCAGCACAGAGCCCAACGCGGGGCTCGAATCCACGAACCGTGAGATCATGACCTGAGCCGAAGTCGGACGCTCAACCGACTGAGCCATCCAGGCGCCCCTGATTGGCTAATTTTTTAAAAATTATGTTTTCCAGGGGCGTCTAGGTGGTTCAGTCGGTTAAGCGTCCGACTTGGGCTCAGGTCATGACCTTGCAGTTCATGGATTCGAGCCCTATGTCCAGCTCTGTGCTAACAGCTCAGAGCCTGGAGCCTGCTTCAGATTCTATGTCTCCCTCTGTGGCTCGTGTTCTGTCTCTGTCTTTCAAAAGTAAATAAACATTTAAAAAATTAAAAATTATGTTTTCTGGAGGTATCATTGTTTGAGGGGGAAAACATGATGACTGTTGAAGAAAAAATTAAGCAGTAAGTATCACTGCCCACAGTTCCACCACATTGACGTAATTACTTAGTTTTTTTTTTTAATAGTTTACCTTCAACATATTGACCTATATTTTTACAGAGTGTTTTAGTCACACATAAGTCGTCTGGGCAGTTTTTAAAAGCATGCAGGATCCAAGCAAACAAAAGAATCTCCAGGCTCCAGAAAAAACATCAAGGCAGGTGTTCTGAGCTGCTAAGAAACAGGGCTGGTGTTAGGCTTCGCCCTTTCGAGAGCTAAGGAACCGGGGACATCTCTGTGGCACGTCCCCAGCAGAAGGACTGCCAGAGGAGTCAAGGGCTGAGGGAGGGGCTGATGAGCCTGCCCCGCCCCCAACCACCTGGGAAGGAAGTAGAAAAGGAGAACCAGCAACAGTCACAACATTTCCTTCACATCTCACTGTTGGGACACAAGGGACTGAGCTGAGAGCAGCTGCATGCAGGGAGACGGCCACCGAGGAGGAGCTTTTTCAGCCACAGTCTAATAACACAGAGGTAACTTTCATTTCCCTTGTACAGTCCCCGCATAAGGAAGAACAGAGCCTGCCTTATTTTCCTGCAGGAACAGCCGGAATATACAGATGTCCCTTCTCTCGTCCCAGCCAGGTTTCCCCTAAGTGGGGAACAGGTCTTGGTTTTAGAAACTGGGATTCTTGAGGAACGTGAGTTTTGCTCTAGAGGTAGTTTACCTTGATGAGGCAATAGAGGAAACCATTTTGCTCTGATAAATCTGTCCCCAGGCGACAGTATTTATAAATAGCCACTGTTTACTGGACACGGTGCTGGTTCTGAGGAAAGTTCCAGAGACAGCAGAAGCTTCTATGAGCCGAATGGTCTCTTCACTGGATGCACTGAACTCAAGCTAGCTTCCATTTCAGGCTTTAGGCTTCCAGAAGGGAAGTAGAGCCTGGAAGCCACAGACAAGCAATAACTGAAGCCATCCTTAAGTCATTTCTACTGAACTAGGTTATGTCTAACTAGACTCTCCTTTTTCCTCTTTGCTTTAACTCGCAAGGAAAGTGAGTCCACATCTGGAGTCTTCCAGGGCACCCTGCCCTCTTCTCTGACTCAGCTCCCTCCTCTCCTTCCCGAGATAGGTCAGCTCATGGTGACTCATACACCCTTACTTCCTGGCCCTTTCAGAGCCCAGGCCTGTGTTTGAAACCCAACCTTGTATAAACACTTCCTACGATGGGAGTCGAGCCTCTTCTTCCGTTTGCCTGCTTGCATTTGCGTTCCTTCAGGCAAGAATGGCTGACGTGCGCACTTGGCCTTTCTCCCCTAGGGGTTAGCAGTGGCCACCATGGGTTCTGTGAGTTCCCGAGATCACAAGGCAGAGGCCCAGGTGGTGATGATCGGCCTCGACTCAGCCGGCAAGACCACGCTCCTGTACAAACTGAAGGGCCACCAGACGGTGGAGACCCTGCCCACGGTTGGTTTCAACGTGGAGCCTCTCGAAGCGCCGGGGCAGGTGTCCCTGACTCTGTGGGATGTGGGGGGGCAGACCCAGCTCCGGCCCAGCTGGAAGGACCACCTGGAAGGCACAGATGTCCTCGTGTTTGTGCTGGATAGCACCGATGCAGCCCGCCTGCCCGAGGCAGTGGCCGAGCTCACGGAAGTCCTGGACGACCCACACATGGCCAGCGTCCCTTTCCTGGTACTGGCCAACAAGCAGGAGGCGCCGGCTGCCCTGCCGCTGCTTGAGATCCGAGAGAGGCTGGGCCTAGAGAGGTTCCGGGACCGCAGCTGGGAGCTCCGGGCCTGCAGCGCCCTCACCGGCGCGGGGCTGCCGGAGGCCCTGCAGAGCCTGAGGAGCCTCTTGAAATCCCGCGGCCGCTGTGTGTCCACGTGAGCGCAGGCGCGGGGCGGGGTTGGGGGCGGGGAAGGGGGGAGGAGCAAGAAGACTGGATCCCCGCAGAGCAGAGCAGGTGTCTGTGGTTCCTTGAGAATCTGAAGCTCAGTTTATCAAACGAGAAGTCCTTCTGTGCTTGGACAGGATATTTTCCTCTTGGGGCTTGTTGTCACTAGTGTTAATGTTGAAAATCAACTCTTCTTTGAATAATAATACTCGAAGGGGAAAAAAATGCCTCCACACACTTCATTTAGTAACTCATGACCAAGGGTGAACTGAGCAATTGTACTAATACAATAATGAATAATAGTTGCATGGCAATTAAGACCTAAATTCATACAGGGAAAGAGGTTTCAAAATCAGATTAGAATATCATCTGGACATGGTCACAATCTTATGAGTGATTTTTCCCAGGGAGCCCCTGGGTACATGCTGAGATCACTCCGAGTGCAAGCAGCCAGGGCCAGCAGAATTGAGTAGGTGACTCTGCCCCACAGAATCTTGGGTTTGGAAGTTCACAGCGGGCATTGAGCCCTGGGCACGAGGGTGGTGTTAAGACCTTCCAAAATTTATCCTTTTCTCTGATCCTGGTTAATTCCTCTCTACTTTTTTTTTTTTTAAGTTTATTTACTTTGAGAGAGAGAGACAGAGAGAGAGAATCCCAAGCAGGCTACACACTGACAGTGTGGAGCGTGACACAGGGTTCAAACCCATGAACCATGAGATCATGACCTGAGCCAAAATCAGGAGTCAGTCACTTAACTGACTGACTACGCAGGAGCCCCCTCTTCTCTACCTTTTATCATCTGATATTGGTCTTTTTCTAAACTGTTTCATTTTTATCTTTTTTTCTTCTCTTTTCTTATAGAACATATTTTTCCTTAAAGATCAGATTAATCAAAGATTTCATTCATTTATTCATTCATTTAATAAAAAAAAGTATTGAATTTGGGCAAAAGGCACCAAGTTTTTAGTTATGAGATATCAGGTGTGAATTTTGAAAATACATATAACAAATGCTTCCTTCTCATTATTAATAGTAAAAAAGAAAGTTGAACATAGCATCCTACCAGGGTTTTCAGGTGATCTTTACCTGGGAACCATGAAGCTCCTGAAATTATCTGCAAAATATTATGCTTTGAACCTTTTTTAGGGGTGGGATGGGGAAGAAGAGCCAGAACTTTTATCAGACTTCCAAAGCCTTTTGTGTCTCGTAAAAGCTAAGATCACTGATCCGGTCTTATCCATCATCCAACCCAGGATTACTTTTTATAATCTGAGGTTTTTAAAAAACATGTTTTATTATTTTTTTGAGAGAGAGAAAGAGAGAATGAGGAGGGGAGGGGCAGAGAATCCAAAACAGGCTCCAGACTCTAAGCTGTCAGCACAGAGCCCGATGCGGGGCTCAAACTCACAAACCATGAGATCACGACCTGAGCTGAAGTCAGATGCTTAACCACCTGAGCCACCCAGATGTCCCTATAATCTGAGTTTTTAATGGCCAGCCGCTTATATTTGACACCTGCTCTCATGTTAAACAGCTCTACATGTTGGATAGTCCTACCCTGGGCTACAACTGTGCTCCGTATAGCCCCTTATCTGGAGTGACACACTATAAATGGGCCCTCAATACCCCTCCAACATCTGAGATCCACCGAGTCCTCCTACCCAAATTCTTTCCTTCTAACATCAGGTTAGGCATGCTGAGTTCTTTCTGCTACTAGTCAGTGTATGGATTTTCCTGTGCCAGACACAGGAAAGTGCAAAGATGCAAAGACAGATTGGACAAGGCCCTGGGCCTCATGGAGCTCCGGTTGGGGAAGCCAAAATTCCCATAAAAATGCAGATGGAGGCTCAATTCAGCAATTGTTGATTGAGCACTCGCTGGGGCTAAGTTCTGTGCTCGGTGCTTTCCATAGATTATCTCTCATCCTCTCAACTCCACAAAGTAGGTATCATTCTCATTTTGCATAATTAGAAACTGAGGCTGGGAGAGGTTGTGACTTGCTTGAGGCACAGAGCTACTAAGTGACAGATCTGGAATTTGAAACTAGCTAAGTCTAGCCCACATGATACTTGTGTTCTTCCATAACATCATGTTTCTAGAAGGTTTAAGCCACGGTTGACCTCCTGCAGATGTTATGAGAGGAGCAGCCTAGTCAAAAGGAAGAGACTGCTTGGAAGCATGAGGGAGAGTGAAGGAAGAACAAATAAGCTGGAGTGGCCAAAGCAGGAGGCTGGGGTGAGGGGTGGGTGGAGGATGTATTATATTAGGAAACATAACTGGGAAGAACATCAAATCCAAGTTGGGGAAGGTCTGGACTTTCGTAATCTGGCTCAGGGAAGTGAAAGTGCTGGACTTCCCATTTAGGAAGATAACTTAGTGGCAGCACAGTGGTGGGAAAAAAAAGGAGGGAGACACTGGAGGCAGGCAGGCAGGAAGACCAGCGAGGTGGCCTTCACAGTAACAGAGAGGAGGGGAAGAGAGATGGGAAATTGAAAGCCAGTTGTTGTTGTTTAATTTTTAAAAATTTTTTTAAATTTATTTTTGAGAGAGAGATAGAGACAGCATGAGCAGGGGAGGGTCAGAGAGAGAGGGAGACACAGAATCGGAAGCAGGCTCTGGGCTCTGAGCTAGCTGTCAGCACAGAGCCCAGTGCAGGGCTCAAACTCACGAACCACGAGATCATGACCTGAGCTGAAGTCGGACGCCCAACCGACTGAGCCACCCAGGCGCCCCTGTTGTTGTTTAATTTTTAACGTTTACTCAGTTTTGAGAGACAGAGAGACAGAGTGTGAGCGGGGGAGGGGCAGGGACAGAGGGAGACACAACCTGAAGCAGGCTCCAGGCTCTGAGCTGTCAGCACAGAGCCTGACGTGGGGCTCAAACTCATGAACCATGAGATTATGACCAGAGCTGAAGTCGGATGCTTAACCAACTGAGCCACCCAGGTGCCCATGAAAGCCAGTTTTAAGGGTAAAAGCTGAGAGAAGAATTTGAAAGTGCCTCAAGATTTTGAGTGTATATGATAAGAGGGATTGGAATGATCTGAGAAGATGGACCCGAGAGTAACAAGTTGGGATGGGGCCAGTGCTTCTGCTCTTGAAGTGCTGGGTATAGATGTGTTTACAGCTTCTTCCAGATCCTTCTATGACCCGCAGTCCTTGAGATAGGAAATACCCTGCTGGATGCATATGCCGGTACCCACAAGCAGAAGCTCCTTCCTCACGTGATTTGTCACTTTTTATTGTGAGCTCGTCTTCGGGGAGGATTTGTTTTTTCCTGTGTGACTCCCATGTGCCCTGGCCTGTGACAGTGTTTCTACATAGAGTGGTTTCACATTAGTGTCTACTAGGCTTCTGGAGGTTTCACCTGTTTTAGTCAAACATTATGTTAGTTTCTCTGCTTGGGACTCATGGGCCTCACAGGTGGCATCAATCTGGATTCTCTGCCCATTCATGGCACAGGCCATAGGGATTCAATTTCTGACAGGTGACTTTTTTTTTCTGCACCCCTGTCCCAAGATACACCATTTGCTTCCTCATACTTCCCTTAGTAGGTGGACAGCATTTCTCAGTCTTCTTTTAAGGAAGGGGGTGTCTCTTTGATACTCTTGCTTTTCTACTGAGCTCAGATCAAAATGTTCTCTTTTCCAAGCAAGCCTAAGGCCATACCTCCTGTTCCCATGTAGGTGTCATAACCTTAGCCCAGTTCCTAGAGCCTAAACTTGGCTTCCCTGATATCTCCATGGACTCCAGGCTCCCAGCTTACTTAACTGCTTTGGCTGTGATTTCTGTCTGCCTTTCTGCCATTTGGGGATATGCCTTCTTTTGTCCAAGGACAGCATGTGTTAAGGCATAATGGTTTTGGTAATAGTTTACCCAACATTTCTGTATCTCTGTAATGGGCAAGGGTCCATCAGCCATGAACTGTCTCCTGAACTGTTTTGATATGTGGCAGGGAGATAGCTTGGGTAGCCGACTTTGGGTGGAGAGAGGATCATGAAGCAGGGAGGCAAGCTGTAGAGGGAGACCGGGGTTCTTTTGACTGACATGCATACGCTTGGGCCCGCTGGTGCAAACAGGCATCCTGTCACCACAGCAGCCATCATGCCATGGGCATTTGTTTCTCTTCTCTTGACGATCGTCATCAGTCCCCTTTCTGACACCGGGATGCACCATGCTCTTGTCCAGCTCCAAGTGTATGCTCCTTGCTGAGATCAAACAGAGCAGACAAAGGGGTCAGCAGGTAGTGCGTGCCGACAGCTCCAAATCCTTGAAGGCAGATGTGCTCTTAACAAGCCCCAGGAGATCTCCTCTCATCTCCCCCCCCCCCCGATAAGATTTGGGAAGAAGGATAACAAAGCAAAATATCACTAAGAACCAAGCCCAGTTAGCGTTGACCATAACTGCCTGCTGGTCCCTGCTTGGAGGGAATGAATGTCACCTAGAATTACCCAGCAGGTGAGTTCTGGGATATTTACTATACAATTCTCTGGCTGGAAGGTGAGGTGGGGAACCTCAGAGTCCAAGGGCAGTTCTGCCAGCCTTCTACCCCACCAGCTTCTGCGACACTCACCTCACGTGAGCATGGGAGTCCCACAGGACACCAGACCCTGCAGCACTCTCCTGGGCTTTCCAATGCCCCTCTGTGCATGTTCTCCAGCCCTTCAAGTTTCCATGCCAACGGGCAGTCCTTAGACGTACATGACGGATGCTAGCGTGGCAGGGTCCTCCAGGGTCACACAACCATAGGGAAACCTCCTGAGCCCCTGCTGTTTCATAGGCATAGTATGTTTTGCTGTTTGAACCCTGCCCATGATTTTGAGGACCCTCAGATCCCACCTCCTCAGGAAGCTCTGCCCGGAAACCTCATCCCATGTTCACCCCCCTTCCTGAACTCTCATGGTGGTGATTCCCTTCTCAGTGCCTGAACTGAGGCTGTTCCATGTGTGGGTATGTGACCTCTGCAAGTATGGTCTAAGTTCCTAGAGATCACGGGTTGCCTTACATCCTTGGATCCTCTTTGAAGCTTGTAACGATATAAGGTACTGAGGGCTGCTCGTTAAATATCTGGGTGAGAAATGAATAGCTGACTGAAGCTATTGACCTGGGTGACCTGGGAGGGAGTCCTCAGGTCCTATGAACTGTCCAGAATGAAATCCCCAAAATGAGAGCTCCAAAAGGTTCATTAGCTGTAGAGTCAAAATGGCAGGACAAACCTGCACATCAGGCATCCTCTGTAGTAAAGACAACAGCAAAAAGTCATACATGATGCTCTTTCTAGAACACAACATGCACAGAACCCCCTGGGTTTTAGTCCTAATAGGAGAGGGAATGCTAAGTGAGGATGCAGCAGGGTATGCTAGGGGGTCTTGGGAGAGGCCAAGCCCCTGAAGGGAGCCGGTGAGAGCAGCCACAGGCCCAGAGCCAGTGCCTGAAAGGAGTGTGCCGAGATGGGGGGAGATGGGGGTCCCATCCTTCCTTCCGCTACCACGTAACACTGGTGGTGCTAGAGGGAGGGTGGAACTCCATCTTTTCTCAGAGCCTTCCCTGAGGGAGATAGTCTTGACTTCCCAGAAGCAAAAGTGACACTAGGTCCAGAAGAGCCCTTACAGGTGGGAATCACATTCCCTTTGCGGCCAGCAACTGAAAAGTA